CAAGCGCTGTTACCCCTTTTATTATAGTTATTTATGTATCAAGGGAATTATGAGGGTGTTAATACCCCATATTCAAGGCAAAAGCGGGAGTTATGGAAATCCTTAACTCCCTTGGGAGTTATAATATCCTTAACTCCCGCGCGGGAGTTATGAAATCCTAAACTCCCGCGCGAGAGTTAAGACCCTGTTCATGATTATCGTAACCAGGGTATTATATCGTTATAATAGTTCAGTAGGATATAAATGAATTAACAAGAGGCCCATAATATGCTCGGTTTGCTCAGCGAAAAATTATTAGGTATGGGTTGATAGTTTAATCAGTACAGAATGGCGAGGGCGCCACTGAATTGAAAAAAAATTAATAAGAAAACTGCTTAAAATATGGAAGGGTGAAAATCAATGAAGTAGTAAAAATAGCCCTTTGCCTATCCACTCAATACATATATTTGCGGCCAACATTAGAGTGAGAGAACAGGAGAGTTCCATGAGATTTTCTTGCCCTTACTAGCGCTATCTCATTCTGGAATCAATTGAAACCTTCCTTCTACTTCATTAGTTAAAATTCAGAAACACACCTAGAAAATACTCAGCAAATGATAATAGGTAATTCTGGAAAAGAAATAAATAATGCACACAACTCAAATCTTGACGTATAGGTAAATCAATAAAACAATTAGGTAAAATTTCAAATAAAAATAGTATATATTTTCACAGTTAGTAAAAATTCAGCATTGAATTATTTCAAAATATAAAATCAATAATTGTTACCTTAGATCAAATCAAATAAAAGGGGTTAACTTTTAATCAGATTCGTCAAGCTCAAAAAAAATATTATTAGTATAAAAACAATGCACCTCAATATACTTGCCTTATAAGTTCATTAACAGTCGCTGGCCATATCATCAATTTGTAAGGAAAATATAAAAATTTAAGTTTCCAGAAAACTAATTAAAAAAATTGAATGATTGAAAAATTCTATTAATAAATATGGTCAGCTTCTGCAAAAAAATAAATTCAAAAAAATCAATTTGTACCTGTAAAAAAATTAAAAGTTGGGTTATATAACGGTTAAATAGTCTGGAGACATAAGGGAAATCCACCAATATATAAGTTATAGGAACTCGGGTTAAAAATTGATCAATTTTCGACGGTAGGCTATTACTCAACAATTTTAAATCTAGAACATGTTGTCCAACCTTGACCTTTGTTCAGATTACTTATTGATTATTATTGATAAAAATGATAAAATATAAAGCGATAATAAAAGTAATGCAAAGACAAATCCATAATAAATTCGATAAATCGAAAGCTAATTTTTCACCATCGTGTCAAGAATATGAGATTTTAAATGTGTATCTATGAAAATCATATAAAAAAATTATCTTAATTTTGTTAGTTGACTATAAAAATGATTTTATAAAAGAAAAGTTATTAGTGAAGCTTAATACAAGCCTCCATTCCAACATAAGGTAGAGCACGGAAGCCATCCATCCTCGGTCACTTGACGAAAGGAACCGCACATGGAACTTGCGGATTCCAGCCTAGAATCCAGGTAGATAAGGGACTAGAATTGTAGTCAATTATGAGGCACACGTATCGACTTATGAGGGTCTTGATTCTTGTAGGGTAGGAATCGTTTCAAAAGCTCTATGCCACACTCCACGGAAGTGGGGTTACTATTGAAAATGTGGCCTATTTGGAATGGACTTGTTGAGAAAAACGGCTCTCCGAAAGACCTACGAGGGGCGCTGAAATTCAAACCTAAATTAAACGGTATCTAATCACGAGACTTTAATTAATTTTTTTCGGTAATCAATGGATTATTGCTCTACGCAACTTCCGTTACGATAATGCCTGAAGGCCGATAAGGTACTTTATTTTTCTACGGCTCGGTTGTTTCGAGAAAATGGCCGATCAACTTTGCAGCTCCACAACACAATTTGAAAAGGAAGAGAATTGAATTGGACAAGATGAGCATACAACGCTTCCTCTCAACGGAAAACGGTGGTAGTAACCCATACGTCAAATTTAAATGAAAATTGTGCCCTTCAATTCAATAATTGCTAACAATATGGGTAGGAGGAATCCTCTATTTTAACCGTTAGTCACCAGACTGTCAACACTAAACAGGGTTATAAAAAAATTAAATTTTTAAAACAAGGAACAAGTAACTTTACACGTTATTATTTAGTAACAGTTACAGAATCACGTTCTAGACAAAGAAAGTTATTCTGATTGAGGTTGAAGTTGTTGAAGAATTTCCTGCGGACACTATCAGTGGCCTATTAATTAAAAATAAAATAAGAAAAATCAAGATCCTTGAAAATACATTTTCAAAATCAAAGAAATTCTTGACAGTGTGTGAATCAAAGATTTTTGAAATTTTCTCTGGAAAACACAAGTGTTTTTACTAAAGCTTCAACATACTGTTAATTTACTCATACTGTCAACTAATGGTCTATAAATAAAAACCATCCTGTATATCAAAAATAATTAAAACTAACTAGAACACGATTTATCGACAGTCAGCGGTTTAAGCAGGTCAACGCGTAAATTATGTTTACACGCCATGAATATAAAAACCCGATACAACCATGGTATCGGCATCCATTCGGGTCTTTCTCTTCTCAGGGTCTCCTTACCCCAGGAAGCATTAACCCCTTCGGATCACTCTCTCCTCAGGGTCACCTTACCCAAGGGAGCAGTAGCTACATTCCTCTTCAGGGTAACCTTACCCCAGAGAGTCTTACCCTCCAGCAGGGTAGCGTTGCCTATACGTGCAGAACCCGTATTCCTACATAGAGCCCCAGCACAAGAGTCATGTGGTACACCTACGTAGTGCCTCTTTGGTAATGTACCTATTGGACGACAATATACACTATTCCCGTTGTAGTTGTGTGTTTTCCTGAAGAGCAAACCCTAACCTCAGGTCTAACCCTCACGAGCCGAAAGGGCCTTGTGTGACATATGGTGGAGGTGCCGTTCGAAGAACCTGCGATGTTGAATCTCCCTATTTAGCATCGAAGTACCTAGGCGAGAGCTCAGTTAAGTGAAGCTAGTCCCTTCGCAAGGATAACTAAATTGGAGTACCTACCGTCGCCATTACATCAGGACTGATAATCAAAGGTATTCTTGGGTGTACACGGACGTGACATTCGCCAAGGTGTCAGGCACTTATCTTACGAAAAGTGGACGCCAAGAAAAGAAAACGCTGCGTGGGACATAGAAGCAAGTTAAATGAGCAAGAAATATAGACTACGATCCACTAAAGAAGATAGCCCCTTTACACCACCTCTCAGTAGCACAGAGATTGCGGACGACACAGTCTTCAAACCTAGGATCTCCCTACAAAGATCACCACCAACGCCGAACGCAGAAGGCTACCACATACTCTTAGTAGAAAAAAACCCTAAAAATAATTTTCATTTACAGCTCGACCACGAGGACCAGGAGGAAGACCCAGAATCACCAAACCTAACGAACAAGCAGCTAGGAGCCAACAGAAGGGGTACTGAGATACCAAATTCTTTTCATATATAATGTATATATTGTTTTAACTAGTACTTTTATAGAATAAGTAAGATTATTGTAAAGGTATGGTCACATGATTCTTAGCGTTGGGGGTCAACGCCTTCACAGGAGGGGCGTATGTCAACTAATGGTCTATAAATAAAAACCATCCTGTATATCAAAAATAATTAAAACTAACTAGAACACGATTTATCGACAGTCAGCGGTTTAAGCAGGTCAACGCGTAAATTATGTTTACACGCCATGAATATAAAAACCCGATACAACCATGGTATCGGCATCCATTCGGGTCTTTTTCTTCTCAGGGTCTCCTTACCCCAGGAAGCATTAACCCCTTCGGATCACTCTCTCCTCAGGGTCACCTTACCCAAGGGAGCAGTAGCTACATTCCTCTTCAGGGTCACCTTACCCCAGAGAGTCTTACCCTCCAGCAGGGTAGCGTTGCCTATACGTGCAGAACCCGTATTCCTACATAGAGCCCCAGCACAAGAGTCATGTGGTACACCTACGTAGTGCCTCTTTGGTAATGTACCTATTGGACGACAATATACACTATTCCCGTTGTAGTTGTGTGTTTTCCTGAAGAGCAAACCCTAACCTCAGGTCTAACCCTCACGAGCCGAAAGGGCCTTGTGTGACAATACTATACGTTTGTATTACTCTGACACTGTCAGATTTATGTAATGCGAGTGGTTTTGCTATTATACGACAATGGTGAAACCCGAATTCTCAGTCATTGGGCACTTCCACCAATTGCAGACCGGTTTCGAGCTTGTTATGCTCTCATTAGTGCAATATAGGCGAAAGCACACAACCTAGATAAACAGGTTTGCAGGAGATTCAAAGGGTAAGAAAAATATTACATAAATCTGACAGTGTCAGAGTAATACAAACCCATAGTATGACTTATTAACAGTATGTTGAAGCTCTGGTAAAATCACTGGTGTTTTCCAGAGAAAATTTAAAAAAAAATTAAATTATCTTATAGTAAACTGAGAATTCTTTTTGGTTCCTTGGGACTGAAATCGGAATCGAGACGGCGGCGGTGCGAATATGTATACAATTATACCAATACGAATAATGAAGTCCAAGAACGCTAAAAATTCGTCTTTCTTTTGAAATCACCATAAAGCAGAATTATCATTTGATATCAAGTTTCATTCCGCCTGCATAAAATATTCTCAAATATGTACAGTTATATTTTATGCAAATATAATTTATTCAAGTCGAGCTTAAGTATGTTCTAATAGAGAAAAACGTATACCTAACGTTGTTGTGTATTTTTTCCAGCTTTATGAGCAATTAGAGAAATAATTAATCAGAGTGTGGCGAGGTATTTTCTTACGATAAAGGCTATATTTTCAACTCACCTTTGTAGTCACATTTGAGCAATTTTTTTTTGATAAAGTAGCATTTTTGTTCGCTGAACCAAAGCCAGCTAGCACTTATACCTACCTTTTTTTTTCCAGTTGTTATGCACAAAGATAAGGACGATGGAGGTGGATTGCATAGGCCACGTGATCTCACTGCTTTTGATCATACACCAATGGACGGTGAAATGTTTTTGCAGGTAAACCTAAAAATTCAAATTGATTCACAAATTTTACAATAACTACTATACAAATTCATATTATTTCCCATTCTTACCGTACTAAAATCACTCTTTTTATAGGCACTTAATGGCTTTCTTATGATCCTCACATGCGAAGGAGAAGTATTCTTTGCGACGCATAGTATAGAGGGTTATTTGGGGTTTCATCAGGTAAATAAAAATAACAAAATGAAAAATGAAACAAAAAAATTGAACCATTTTAATTTTAGTCCGATATAGTCCACCAGTCGGTTTACGAGTTGGTCCATTCCGAAGACAGAGAAGAACTACAGAGGCAACTAATGTGGAACTCTTTTTTACCTCCCGAATCAGCCAATATGGGCCTCCAAGATGTCCTAAATCCTGAAAACAGTCACCTTTTGGAAAGAAGTTTCACGGTGCGCTTCCGATGTCTGTTAGACAATACTTCCGGATTTTTGGTAAGCATTTAAGTAAATTAGGTGCAACAATTTTGCCTCATTAAACAAATTCTCAGAGGTTGGATATACGAGGGCGGGTAAAAGTACTCCACGGTCAAAACCGTAAATCAGAAGAGCCTCCATTAGCACTCTTTGCGATATGTACACCATTCGGACCACCCTCGTTACTGGAAATACCTCAGAAAGAAGTAATGTTTAAAAGCAAACACAAATTGGACTTAGCTTTAGTGTCGATGGATCAAAGAGGCAAATTACTATTAGGATATTCAGATTCGGAATTAGCCAATATGGGTGGATACGATTTGGTGCATTATGATGATCTGGCCTATGTTGCTAGTGCACATCAAGAATGTGAGTGATTTCAATAAAAGTAATAAATATTTTTAAAATTAATATTTTTAGTGTTGAAAACTGGTGCCTCAGGTATGATAGCTTACCGATTCCAAACCAAAGATGGCCAATGGCAATGGCTACAAACTAGTTCTAGATTAGTGTATAAAAATTCGAAACCCGATTTTGTGATAAGTACGCACAGACCTTTAATGTAAGTAATTGATATTAGTATTATTATTGTAATAGAAAAAATACACTTGTTGAATTTTTTTTAGGGAAGAAGAAGGAAGAGATCTTCTTGGCAAACGCACTATGGACTTCAAAGTCAGTTATTTGGATGCAGGTCTTCCCAATACCTATTTTACAGAAAACGATCAACTTTTAACTTCCCCGACGCATTCTTCTGTACCTTCAACGCCCACTAGAGTAAATAGACGGTAAGTAACCCCAAAATTTGGAAAAATATTGTATTAACCAATTTGAACCTAAGGTATAAGACCCAATTAAGGGACTTCCTTTCAACATGTAGAACGAAACGTAAATTATCGCATAGCTCTAGTGGAGGACAAATAACGCCACCTAGTAATGCCGCTGTAACTACGTCTGTAGTACCTTCAATGCCAACAACTGTAAGCTTTAGCCCAAAACCTATAACTAGATACTCACGTTGTTTATTTAAAGGTGGAATACATAGCTGAAGGATGTACAGCAACATACAACATGTATCCAGCACCATACGCTACTGCCACTACAGACCATAGCCTAAGCTACATGACCCATTCAGCTTCAAATTTCAACCATACCCTGTATCCTACTGCGACCGCGCTGGATAATCGATATCTTACAACAACAGAAAATATATTTCATCAATATAGGTAATATTACTATCAGAATAATTTTACAAATATACTAAACATCTCTATTTCAGACCTCTCGGTACATATTATCCAGAATACCATCACGCAACCCCTTCAACTCCTTACAACGGATTTCTGGATATGACTCCAAGGGCTTATGATCCAGCTGGTGGTACTCCAACCCATCACGCCACCTATCGGACGGCTGTAGTAGACGATAAGCTGTACCCGTGCCATCAGCAGGTATGTACGTAGCCTTTTTTTTTTTCTTTTTTTATTATTTGTTTTGTAAAAATGAATATTCAAAGTGTAGCGCAAGAATTCTATTTGTTAAAGGTCGTCGAAACACCCTCGGTTAAGTACCCGGCCTACGATGGTACGCGAAGCTACGTAGTACCAAACAATAAGTGCATCGATGTGACTGCTTGGCCTTACTCTGTCAGTCCGTCGTCTGGAATAATTCAGCCGGTTCAGGTTATGAGCGCGCCTCAGATTGAGCTAGCTGGTAGTCCACATAATAAGGTATTTTTTGCATTCCAGTGTCACATTTTAAAATTTGCACATATTTTTCTTGGATTAAACGCTCGTCTGGAATAGGGATAAGCTGGAGTTGGTTTGGGTCAGCCATTTTTAATGATTCCTAAACAATGTTTTTGTCATGTTCGAACAGAAAAGGTTTTTGGGACAAAGGACATAGGTTCTAGTAGAAAGTACCTATCGGTTGATTTGAAACGTGGAAAATTAAAGATAAAGGGTCCATTTTGAGAAGCATTTTGGGAGTGACTGACTGAACTCGGACTTGATTGGTTGCTGAACGAGGAACAAGGATGCAAATACCGTATATGCAAATACCTATTTCCACTTTCTATTCTTTTTCTCATTCAGTTCTTTTGAGGCCCAACGCCTGTTTTGATTATCGTATTAGTAGCTATAGTTTTCAAGGACTTTATAGTGACCTATAGAAAATGTACTATATTGCCAATTATAGTGTCACACAGGAGTTATTCAAAAACTCTGAGGCAGATACTTACAAAGCTAGAGTTGCCAAATGGTCTTTCTTGCAACATGCTAAGATCAGTGGTCCTACACTCGTCGAATAAAAATATCGTCCGACTACTGAACAGCTTACTACCCTGCAAAGGGTGGAAAAAATAGTAATGTTAGGTAGTAGATATTATCAATACAATAATAAGATCAAGTATTTAGGTGTTGGAGAACACGAAAAAATGAACAACAAGAAAATGAAAGAGAACAGCGGAATATCTCAGGAAAAATGGAGGAATTTTGAAAACCGAACTGAATTATATACTTTCAACCAACCTCTGCAATCCTTAAATACCTCGAGCTGAAACAAACAGGCAAGTATCTAGATTTGGCGAATCGACAGGAGAAAAAAAAACACAAAGAAAACACTACTATACCAAGAGCTGATAGAAGGTCTGTTCGAACACGTCAAAAACCGTCATATGAACAGTTTCGAAACCACTTTGTATACGAATTCCGGATTCTACGCACAAATTTTGGCTTTGTGCAGAATCGTGACGGTAAATTGTACGTGTGTTGGAACAAAGCTCTGAAAGAAAATATCGTGGTCAAAATGTAGGGAAAGTAAAGTGCAGATCGAAGAAAATGGCTCGACCAAATTTTAAAGTACGTAATCAGAGCGAGATATTATTGATAACTTCAAGTCCTGGGTAGTCATAAATCTGAAACAGTGACTCCAAATATAAATTTGTCTGAAAGACGTTGGGTTTTGTAGCATAGGACGTCTTCAAGATCTAAGTCGTAAAGAGACGTCTAAAAGACGTCTTGAATGTCATTTGTGGACATCTTAGGGACGTCTTCAACATGTCTCTGTGCTGTATAAGTATAATATGAGTAGCTGTTGAATGATACGTTTTGATGGTTGATTCTGACTAAATATTTAACACTCACCTGTTACACTCAAACACAAACTGACAGATCCATTATTAGGCAATTCAAACCACGTGATATTCAAGATGGCGTGGCGGCCACACATGGACCAAAAAACACAAAAAAATATCTAATTTCTGCCAGATTTGATAGTTTAGGTACCTAGTCAACAAATAGTTTATTAAATAATCAAAATTAAAGTTGCAAGCAAAATTCCAAGCGAAATAATTTAAAATACGCATAAAAACATATTCAAAACAGACTTGCTTGGCCGCCACGCCATATTGAATTTTCCTTTTTGACAGATTGATTGAATTGCCTAATTAAGGGGAACAAACCGGACACCTGAAACTTTTATCGGTGTAAAATTTCTTTAGTTTCTGATTAATTGTCACTCTCGACGACTCTTGAATGACTGTGATATAACCCCCCTGCAATAAGGCTTGAAATCGCGTCGTAATAAGAAAATCCTGTAGCATTTTTTTCATATTACATGTTCTGCTGGAAAATCGCAAGTAATTGAACGCATACTACTTTGACAAAGCCCGGGATCACCGGTGGCGCAAAAACTGAAAATCCTTGCTACTTTTGAAAAGGCCCAAGACAGCGAATACAGAATTTAGGTACCTACTACCATACTGCAGCTCGCTCAGACTCTCCACCCATACTCTCGAACGAAGAAAGGTAAAAAATTGTGGAGACTGCCGCGGTCTGATGCTCAATGGCTAACAAATCTTCATCTCATCAAGACTTCTCTACACTCATTAGAAAATCTTTCGGCTTAGTTGGAATTCAAATTCTGAATCAAGGAGTCGCGTAATGCCACCCAAACATTCCACTCCTTCGTGTTTTATGGATGAAGCTCTTTGCAGGCTATATTTTTGCTAATCATATCGAGTTCCCTCGAAGAACGTTTGCAAGATCTGGGAAATTGTTTTTCAAACGTCTTGAGGGTTTCGGGTGTGGATTAATACGGCGAAATATGCTTTCGGCAGTCTGAGGAAAATTTCTTGGTTACTGATTCGAAATCCCTTATGCAGGATACAAGAGGCAAAATTAATATTATTATTATCATACTCGTAGTCTACACAAATCCGTCGCATTTTTGTATCGAGAGTCCCGCAGTATCACGCATTTGGGATACCCGACCGCGGCATGTATCGAGCGCACGGTAATATGAAAATCACTCGGATTACCGTACGCTTGATACTCGCATCTACAGACATGCGAGAATGTCATTTTGTTTTTCCCTGGCTCCCCATCGTCAAGCCAATTGGCAATATTAATTTAATTTTGGTTCTGGTCAAATAAGAAACTTGATTGGGCTGAAATCTTGGTGTATATGTCGTAGGTATAAAGCAATTTCAGGCATATAGATAAAGTATATTTTTTCATCTAAAATATTACCACAAGAGAAAATAATTTGTTGGCAATATTGGCAAAATTTTCGACTGCTATGAAAGTTTGTTGCTTGGTAACTTCGCGAATGACATTTTTGACAAAACCTCGAGCCGTTAGGCGAGTGATTTTGTCAAAAATTTCATGAGCGAAATTACCAAAAAGCAACAAACTTGAATAAAACCAAGAGAATAATTTTGCCTACATAATTTTTTTTTGCGTGGTATTCAGCTGGACTATTTCACGAGAAAAACGAGCCAATTTTCATTTGGACTAGAGTATTTCACACTGGCAAGATGTCATAGGACCGGCCGGTTTCCTACTGACAAAACTCCTACCTGGACAAAACCAACATGATGGTTTTTCAGCGACAAAATTTTGTGTGGTTAGAGTAAAAAACTAGTGAGTTTGACAAGTGTCACCTAAAGAAAATAAATTTTCCAAATGAAAATTTGGCTCGAGAAAATAGTCCAGCCGAATACCACTCAAGAAAAAAATTTGTAGGCAAAATTATTCTCTTGGTTTTATTCATCAAGTTTGTTGCTTTTTGGTAATTTCCAAGCAACAAACTTTCATACCAGTCGAAAATTTTACCAACAAATTTTTTTCTCTTGTGGTATTATGTATGAAAATTTATTTTCTTTAGGTGACACTTGTCAAACTCACTAGTTTGTTACTCTTACCACACAAAATTTTGTCATACATAATAACACAAAGGAAAAATTTTGTTTGCAAAATTTTCGACTGGTATGAAAGTTTGTTGCTTGGCAATTTCGCGAATGACATTTTTGTCAAAAATTTCATGAGCGAAATTACCAAAAATCAAGAAACTTGAATAAAACCAAGAGAATAATTTTGCCTACATAATTTTTTCTTGAGTGGTATTCGGCTGGACTATTTCACGAGAAAAACAAGCCAAATTTTCATTTGGAAAATTTATTTTCTTTAGGTGACACTTGTCAAACCCAATAGTTTTTTACCTTAACCACACAAAATTTTATCGCTGAAAAACCATCATGTTGGAAAACACGCATGAGTGAAAAATTATCTGGTCCATTTTAAAGCTCAAGTGGTATTTAGAGGATTATTTCACGTATGAGAATGCAAAAAATATGGAAATAAATATGTATTAAACGATTTGAACATCTTAACCATCAATACAAATAAATGGTTGCTATCAGGAACCGTTTGTTTGTATCAAAAATTAGCATGACAACCATGTATAAAATAACATGGGAGAATTATCGCTGTAATTCTCTCTAGTTAAACAAATGGAAAAGAGAATTTTCGCTGTAATTCTGAAAATCGTCACTTGTCTTATGGGATTTCTAACACATGAGTGGAATAATCGTTGAAAAACCATCATGTTGGTTTTGTCCAGGTTGGAACAGGTAGGAGTTTTGTCAGTATAGGAAACCAGCGGTTCCTATGACATTTTGACAGTGTAAAACACTCTAGTGAAATAGTCCCAAGATAAACTTTAACATTGGCAACTTTGGAACATAAACAATGTCGTTATTGGTTGCAAATATAAAAGGATACCTCACCTGTATAGACAAGGCATTTTGCGGCAAATCAGAGCCAATCCGTATTGTTTAATGTTGTCAATTTTGTCAATGTCATTTGCCTAGTTACTAAAGGTCGAATTTATTGTCGTTCCTTGGAGGTCGTGAGTTTAGAATGGACACTTGCTACTATTTGACCATCGCCATCGCACATAGCAAAAATAGTTGAAAATTAATGAGATTTTGTTATTTGCCTAGTTATTTGATGCTGTCTGTCTCTAACATACTATCCCAAACTAACCCCAAGGCCTTTACGTTTTACTCAGCTCTAGTTTAGATTAATTTTGGTTAGTTTTTTAGTTAGAAGCAGCATCATAAATGACATCTGCCTGAATCGAATCTCTGCATTTGTCATATTTGAGCATAGTTTTTGAAGGGCTTTCTGCTGCCATAAAAATATTTTTTCCATTAAAGCCCCCTAAGCGCCGTTTACTCTTAACAATTTTAGGAGAAAGAGTGAGACAGCGCTATTTACATTGGCGTATCCAGGATTTGGGTTTGGGGGGGCTCTGTTAACAAAAAGTGGTGACCAAAAAAAAAAAAAACGCTGCGCACAATAGGCCATTCTCACTTGCCTCTTATTGGCTAAAGCCGATATAGTCAATATAGTCATGCGCTTGTTGCCACTTAAGAAATGTAGAAATG